TAGAATAGAATAGAATAGAATAGAATAGAATAGAATAGAATAGAATAACAAGAGTTGGAAGGGACCTTGGAGGTCTTCTAGTACAGTGGTCGCAGTTTTGGTGGTCCGCAGAGAAATGTCACCCCCAAAGCACCCCCCAAAGCAATTAATGCAGGCTGCACGGGAACACAAAGCTTGCATCATTTGCATTGCGAACAACACAAAGTAGTGAGGGGAGGGGGGAAAGGGCGGAGGGAGGAGAACTTGCCCCACTCGCCCTGCCTGACCACTGGGCTGCTTCTTTCTTCTTCTGCTTTTGGCTACATGCAAGGAAAGCAGCAAAAGTCTTTCTCTCTCTCTCCCAAACTCCGCCAGGAATGAGTCTTTGGGATCCTGCATGGCATCCTGCTCCAAGAGACTGCGCTGGTGCGACAAGTCTCATAAAGGCTCATTTCTGGCGGAGTTTGGGGGAGAGAAAGGAAGATTTCTGCTGCTTCTGCTGCTTTCCTTGCATGAAGCCAAAAGTCTCTCTTTCTCTCTCTGCCCCTAAGAACAAAGCTGGAGACGGTATCCTGCAATCCCAAATAAAGAATGATCAATTGCTAGGAAAATGGGGTGGTGACTTTTCCTGCAGACCTTTTGGGGGATTTTCCCAGGGTCTCTGGTCTGCAGGATTTAAAAGTATGGGTTTGGTGGTCCCTGAGGTCCAAAAGGTTGGTGACCCCTGTTCTAGTCCAACCCCCTGCCTAGGCAGGAAACCCTACACTACTTCAGACCAATGGTTATCCGGAGCACCAAAGACCCCTCATGTTAACCCTAAGCTACAGATATTTTCCTTTATTAGCACTTAGCAGAATACTTAGATTTTAAGATGGGAAAAATGCATAGTAAAAAATGGTTCGTTTTATTCCATGAAGACAAAAGGGTGTATTGTTCAAACTATTGTTTGAACTATTGTTCAGATTTGGTGAGTCAGCTTTTATTGGTTCCTTTGAAGAAATTCAGTACTGGATTCCCAAAGGAATAAGACTTCCCCAGCAAAAAAAGGAGAATGTGCTACTTTCTTTACTTATATGGAGAAATTTTGGTACACAGCTGGCTATGTGTGCAAAAGATGGTGAGTTCAGTTGCAAGTATTTTTGAGTAATACAAGTAGTCCTCACCTTACAACCACAACTGGGACCCGAATTTCTGTGGCTAAGCAAAGCGGCTGTTAAAGTGAGTCATGCCTGATTTTATGACTTGTGCCATGATTGTTAAGCAAATTGTGGCAGTTGTTAAATGAATCCTGCAGTCGATAAGCAAAAACTGGCAAAAAAAACCCATTGACTTTGCTTGTCAGAAGCCAGTTGGGAAGGTCCCAAATAGTGACCACATAGCCTTGGACACTTCAACAACCATTGTAAATACACGCCAGATGCCAAGCACCATATTTTGATCAGGTGGCCATGGGGATGCTTACGACTGTCATAAACGTGAGGGTTGGCTGCAAGTTACTGCTTTCAGCACCATTGTAACTTCAAACAGTCCCTAAATAAATGGTTGCAAATCAAGGAGTGTCTGCAACTACAAAAGCTGTGGTTCTAATACATTGAAAAGCAGTTTCCATGTACACGAGGCAATATTGAACATATTGGGAATAATCTAATCCCATGATTTGATGTGGTGTAAGGCAGGAGTGTCAAACTCAAGGCCCGCAGGCCAGATCTGACCCGTGGGGTGCTTACATCTGGCCCATGGGACCAACCTGGAAACAGCATGATGCCCATTGTGCCTCTGCCCCCCCGGGCTCCATTTTCAGTCGCAACAGTCTCTTGCAGCCCTCTGCCACCGAAAACCTGAGCTCTGTTTTTACTGGCAGAGGGCTAGCGAAACAAAGTAAAGCAAAACAAAACAAAAGGAGAAATGTTTCTCCTTTTGCATTTTAGCTTCCAAGAAGGGACAGGAAAGGAGAAAGAGACAGAGGAAAGACAAAAATGAAGGAAAGATGGGAAGAGAGAAGAAAGGAAAAATAAGGAAAGAGGGGAAAGAAGAAGAAACAAGCATGAAGAGGGAGGGAGGGAAGGAAGGAAGGAAGGAGGGAGGGAGGGAGGGAGGGAAGGAAGGAAGGAAGGAAGGAAGGAAGGAAGGAAGGAAGGAAGGAAGGAAGGAAGGAAGGAAGATTATAATGAGATGGAGGGAGAGTCTGAGGGAAGTCCCGCCATAGCACTTGGCCACCACAGGTGCCCTGAACATGAATGATGTTGAGCTGGCCACACACATCCTGCCCCCCTAAGTCAAATACGACCCTGATGCAGCCCTCGGTGAAATTGAGTTTGACACCCCTGGTCTAAGGCATTTGAGTATGTTTTTCCATTCTCTTGCAGTGAGTCCACATTTCACCTTGAATTGTAATATACTACATGCATAGGCCATACAGGAAAGATAGATGTGGAATTAATAGCATTTGCGCTCAGTACTCTTGTGTTCCATCATGAAATGTTCTGTTGTTCTGAAGGATAATTCATTTTTGTCTTGAAATGCACCAGGGATGGTGGTTCATGGTGTTTCAATTGAGGATTCGTTTCTAGAAAACTTCAGACATCCTTTCAATAGTTGTCATGGTGGAGCCCAGAAAAGAGGAACATCTGAATGTTTTGTGACAGGAGCACAGAATTTTGCAGACTTCTATTACAGAAGCAGTTCAGAAATTCAGTATTAATAAGCCATAATGAGGGCATTGCCTAATTGATCTAATAGCATTACTGGCCATTGCAGTACAAAAATAAATTCTGATACACAGATGAATTGAAATGGCTTGATTATTTGCTGCTTCAGAGTCCCTCTGACCAAAAAAAGAGTAACTTTGTTTTCTTCAAAGGAATGTTAATTTATTTATTTTTCTTACGATTTAAAAATGGAGTATATGTTTTGTTTCTTTTTTCTCTTGCAGTAATTTATGAGGGCTTCTACCTGAGACTTTGGCCTTGGGATAGAGGAGAAAATGCAATCTGGTTAGAAATGTAAAATGATTTTCTATAATGTAGATTTCTTAAACAAATGCATGAAGTGAATCAGATATTCAGGATTGTTTTTTTTTTTAGTTTCTCTGACACAGTTCCCTGATAAAAGTGATTGCAATAGAAGTATGAATAGAAATGTGCATGGAAAATATGTACTCTGTGTGTGTGTGTGTGTGTGTGTGTGTGTGTGTGTGTGTATTTATTTATTTCTTAAGTTTTCGTGGGTACTTACATGTATGGCATTCAGCTTTGTTCGGGTATTTTCCCACGTCATTGTAGTTGTGCTTTTAAAGTTGTAGCAATGTTTCGGCAGAATCTCATCTGATGAACACTATACAGAAGCCTGATGATGGCAGATGAGATTCTGCTGAAATGTTGCTACAACTTTAAAAGCACAACTACAATGACGTGGGAAAATACCTGAACAAAGCTGAATGCCATACATGTAAGTACCTGTGAAAACTTAAGAAGAATATATATATAGTTATTCAGGTTTTCTCCTGCATAAAATTGGAAGTATCTTGGCGATGTTTTGACGAAGTCTCATTCGTCATCTTCAGGCTTGTGTCTTCAGCTATTGAGCTAGTAGATTAATAATCTAGCTGTCCACTATGTTTTGCAAAGCAAAACACAGCAGATGCTATCCAGAGTTGAAAAGAAGCCATTGGTACTGCAGAGAAGAAATTGAGCCAAAGCTGGTTTAAATTTTCCAAGCAAAATTATCTTGTATAAACCTCTTCTCAAATTTAATCAATCCTCACTTCCAGCATAGAATACAGCTTCAAGTTGTATGCAGGAAGTTTACATGACATTATGTTGCATACAATTCCATCACAACTTCAAGACAATTAAAAATATGTGATTAAAGAGATCATGACCACCACCACCCTCCTTTGTTGCTACCTTCTTTGAAGGAAAGAACTTGCTGATAAACTTCTGACTGAGGGAAGAAGAGCACTTTATAGCAAGATTGCCACAAAAAAGAAGGGCCTTTTTTGCGTATTGCACAGCATGCTTCTTAAAAATATGTAATCTTAAATTTGAGTCTCCTCTCTTTAATTAACCTGAAGAAAATCACTTCATCAAATATTGGAATCCTAAGGCATTCATTACCTTAAAAGTCTTCAATGAATGTTTTCGGTACCACATAGTGCACCCAGTTGCAAACTTCCTGAAGATCTCATTCAGGCTGCTTCATGTAGATCTAACAATGAAGATTCCAGAATGGGCCCCTGCAAAATACACATAGTCCTTGAATTATGATATAATGGAGCATGCCAATTATGATCATAACTTGTAACAGCTGTAAACAGCTTGTAAAATATGACTGCCTGATTTTATAATGATCTGAGCTGTAAGTCCCACTTTTCAGATAGGTTATAACTTTAAATGTTTGATAAATGACCATTTGTAAGTAAAAGATTACTTGCACTACATCCCGTAAGGCTATAGGGCCAAGCAAAATAATCCATATCCATTCTCTTAGCCAATCCTGAAGATAGCAAGTAATACTAGTGAAGAATGCTTCCTACAGCCATTCCAAATAACCAGGATGATACCATGACCAGGAATACAAAAAGATACTGAGAGTCATATACCTTTAGCAGGATAATTCAGAAGCTATTGCTGTCACTCTATTGTGCAGAACATCTTTTATCCTTTCAGGGAAGATTTGCCGTCACAAATCTAAAGATCATGCAACCAATTTTTTCTCCAATACCAAGACCTCTATGTTATTTTAAATAAACACTCCATAATGTAATCTGCCAAATCTGTCAGATTGATAATACAGTAATAATCATGAAATCTTGAGCTATCCCAATCGGGGCCCAGAATGAATACTGAAGTCCCTTAGGAGCACCAATCTGACTTTCCCAACATCTCTGAGATTATAACCACCTTGTCACCAGGAAGTTACTAGAAGCACTAGTACTAACTGGTGATAGATCAGAAGCATATTCCCAAGGATGCTAGAACCAATAAGGATGATGGTCTTAGCAGCTCCAATGATGTCATGAAACTGGCCAGGCTCATGTATTCTTTGAAGTTCAACAGCCACCACAAAAACCTGACCTTGCAAGGAAGAAGTGTTGGCTACAAGGAGCATTTGTCTACAAAGTTTTCATCCATCTTTACTACATGATGTATAAGATATCCAATGATAAATATATCAACAGTAATATATCCTACTTACTTTTGCAGTTCTATGTTGGCACATGATCAAGATGACATTGTGTTAAAACTTTTAGATTTAGAACTTTAATTATTTCTTGGAATAGTGAGGAATTTACCAAGGCAAATGAAAAAAAAACAATTAAGAGCTGTATTTAGTGCTTTTCCATTTCTTCTTTCATAAGCGTTAAACTTCAAGGCAATTTCCTTTTTTATTTGAGAGAGCATATTGTACTTCCGAAACAAAAGGAAATAAAAGGAATGTGGTGTTATTCATCATCAAATCTTTCAGCCTATTTGTAATCTCAACAAAATAATGTTTTTAATTTGCTTCCTTTACAATTTTCTTTCAAGTTGTGGGAAGAAGTTTGTGCCTCTTGAACTTCATCATTAAATGCTTTGTTTTGTCAAAGAGGCTGCATTGATTTCTGATACTGTTCTTATAAGTGATGCAATTAATTAAACTAGGTTGCATTAAATGACAGTTATTACATTTATATTTTGGTATTAGCTATTAGAGAGCCAGTTTGGTATATTGGTTAAGCCATTATTTTAGAAACTTTGAGACCATTTCTAGACTTGCCTTATGGCAAGCTATGTGAACTTGGCCAGTCATTTTCTCTCAGCTCTAGGAAGGAAGCAATGGCAAACTACTTCCCAAAAACCCTTGCCCAAAAAACTGCAGGAACTTATCTCTGAGAATCTGACTGAATGGGAAAAATGTTATTATCCATACAGCCACACATCTCATGCTATTGCAGCCCTTCCCAGATAGTGCTTATAGTAAGTATCCCTATAAATAGTTAATTGCAGCATAATAAAACTTCAGTTGGCTAGGGTTAGCTGTTATAGCCTTGCACAAACTAGTTATTTGAGAGTAGGAGGTGTTTTTCCCCCTCTTTTTTTTACTGTAGAATAAAATACAGTTCCCTGTTATATATGTAGAATGAACTTGGGAAGCCATGGATCAAAGCAAGTTTTATCCTGGATTGTAAATTAACTACGGTTAGAATAGATAGCAATTTATTACATAGGAGTTAGGATTTCTTTGAATTTAAATTGGATTTTTTTGGGGGCTCTTATGCAGGAGATGAAAACTTAACAGGACTTCCCTGTTATTATTTTATGCCCATTTTTTGCAGTAATTCAGTTCTTCAAGATCATTAACTTAGAACCCTGAAATTACTTTGGACCCAAGCAGCCTTTCATCTGAACTAGCAGTAGGCAACCTTTTAATGGTAAGGGACCACAGCGGGAAGGATAATCATTTAGGTAAGAATTGGGAAGAATTTTACCTTTATAAGGCTTATTATAGAACTTGTGTTATAGTTGATGTGTTCCCTGCCTCAAAACGGGGAGAAATTGGGCCAGACGTTTTCAGAAACATAATGATCAAAATAGTTTCTGGAAGATGGGAATAAGGGGCTCTGGAGCTGTAATTCGTTTAAAAGGTACAGTATAAATTGTCCACAAGTGAAGAATTAATCACCCTCCCTGGCATCTCACATCACACATATTTAACCAGGTATCATAGCCTGCATAAACCGTGAGGAGCTTTTTCTGCTCATAGCCAAACCTGATCTTCACACACATCCATCCAGCACAGGGGTGTCAAACTTGCAGCCTGCGGGTTGGATGCGTCTTGCACTGGCCACTCCCACCCCCATTTTAGCAAAGGGGAAAAAGTTGTGATACGACACGTGATGACAACATGATGATACGACTTTGACACTCCTGATTTAGCATTACCATGAACTTCGTCACCATTTGAACTAGTGGTGGGATTCAACTGGTTCACACCACAAACCGTTTGTTAAATTGCTAGCAGGCCCCTCCCCTCCCTGCCCCTCCCAAGAGTCTACATGTGGTGCGGCCCTCATTGCGGCCCATTTTTGCTCCCAGGGGGCTTCGGGGAGGCCTACTAGGCCCCAAATGGGGCACAGGTGGTGTGGTGTGGCCCACCCACGGACTGTTTTTTTCTCCCAGGAGGCTGCAAAGCGGCCTACGAGGACCAAAATGAGGCGCAGGGGAGTAGTGCCCTCCTGGCAGCATGTTTTTGCTCCCAGGGGGGTGCAGAAAGGCCTGTAACACCCCCTGGCCATGCCCATCCAGCTGGTCATTAGGGCAGGAAACGGGTTGTTAAATTATTTGAATTTCACCACTGATTTGAACTGTTAGGTAGTCCTGTAGTAAATAAAGCCACCAGCCAATAGAACAACTTGTCTTCAGAAGTTGTGTGTGCTCCATCATTGGGGGCTTTCCAAAAGATTTTCTTCCTGCTAACCATTGCTAGGACAAAGATTCTTCTCCTGGGTTGAAAGTCCCATCTTATAGTACACAAAGGTTGAGGATTCTTTCCCCCAGAAAATACTTCCGTTTGGATCTAAGTTAGTAAAAACAGAGGATTTTTTTTTTTCACCCAATCACCAAACAACCAGCACCTGCCTCTTCTGTAATATTTTTTGTAGTTGTTCTTTTTCCATTTTTTCCTTGCACTCAACAGATGCAATTATTATTATTTTAAAAAATAGTTGTCTAGATTTAGCATTAGAATAAATTTCAAGTCCATTTTGTTGTTTAGGTTTTAGATCTTTCTCTTAGCAATCAGGCAACCCGCAGAGGTAAATATCTCTTTTTCCCCTTGGGAAAAAAAAAACACACCTCCACCCTAAGTGCTATTTGGCTTTAGCAATTACATACTTGACTGCCCAACCATGGAAATCTTTTTTATACTTTTATATCCTACTGTACAGCAAGTAAGTGTATCAAACAGGGAAGGAACACTGTCATGCTTTTGAACAAATTTTATTGTATGCTTCTTTCTGTCTTTTTCTGTATATAATGCAGTCTTTGAAGTGGAAAAATTTTTTTAGTGACTCCTCCATTCTTTTTTCTTTTAATTTGACAGTTATTATTTAACTTTTCAACAGAGCTCAAAAAACGATCATCAGCTTTTGTCGACACATTTAACTTTGTTTGGATACAAAGAATTACAATTATTGCTTCTCCCCCTTGCCCAGTGGATGATCCTCCTCTTCCCCCTCCTCCTTTTCCATCCTCCTTCTTCTCCTCCTCTGCCATTCTCTGCTGCTGGACACCTTCATGGGGCTATCTGCCACTGTTCCCTTTTTGGTAGGTTGCTCTGGAAGGAGTCTATTTGGGAGGTCATATGGTCTACTATATAGATCTACTTTTTGGTGGCCTTACTGCATTACTTATAACTACAGGTCCTCGAGCTAGAGTTAGGATTGCTTTTGGTCTATCCAATCCTTTGGTTGTTGAGCTTCTTCGAAAGCATAGTATTGCTGAAATATGACCGGGTTTTCACAAGGTCTTCCTGTCCTGACCACAGTAACAATCACTGGATTCAAAATGACAAGCTCAGCTAGGAAAGCAAAGTTTTCTCCACTGTTAATATGCACCAGTCAACCCATAACTTGTTAAGTCATCTGTTGGCAGAGATTGCATGAGGGAGGGAGACTTACCCGAGCAACTTTTGACCTTCCCTGCAAGGTTCCCCATTGGTTTTTCCTTGCAAGCTTTACAGGAAGAAAATTGCAAGTCCAAACTTTCCGGCACCTCCAGCTGTCAGCCAGTCATTTTTACATTTTTTACATTTTATTTGGTTTGTCAATCGCTTAGAAGTTTTGAATACATGAGATAGATACTTATAAGAAAAATAAAAAAAAAACAATAGGACAGGGATGGTAGGCACGATTGGTGCGCTTATGCACGCCCCCTACAGGCCTCTTAGGAAGGGGCTGAGGTCTATAGTAGACAGTCTAAGGTTAAAGTTTTTGGGGTTTGGGGAAGAAACCACAGAGTCAGGTAGAGTATTCCAAACATTGACCACTCTGTTGCTGAAGTTTTATTTTCTGCAGTCAAGTTTGGTCTGGTTAACCTTGAGTTTGTATCTATTGTGTGCTCTTGTGTTGTTATGGTTGAAGCTGAAGTATTCATTTGCAGGTAGGACATTGCAATGTATGATTTTATATACTATATTTAGATCGGACCGGAAGCAGCGTAGTTCTAGGTTTTCTAGGTCTAGAGTTTCAAGTCTGGTGGCATAAGGTATTCGGCAATGAGTAGAGGAGTGGAGAACTCTTCTTGTGAAATATTTCTGGACTTTCTCTACTGTGTTAATATCAGATATGTAATGTGGGTTCCAGACTGATGAGCTGTATTCAAGTATAGGTCTAGCAAATGTTTTGTATGCTCTAGTTAGTAGTGTGATTGTGATGACCCATAGTCTCTCAAAATAACCCCAAACCCAAAATATATATCAAAGTCTGGTAAGGCCTTCAACTTAACTTCACTGTTTTATTAGGCACAGTTTAAAGTCACAAAAGTAAATAATGAGGCTAACAGAAAACCAAAACAAACCACATTGATGAGAGTTCTGAAGCAAGCCGAGATAACTAATCATAAACTCCAGGCAAATAACCGAGAAAAGTCCATGGGAAGAACACCAACCTAAAGATAAACATCTTTCAAGGTAAACACTAATTGACTCCAGCAATTCTAACTACGTAGCTGAAAAACTTATATACATAGCTCCCACCTGCAAGCCACAAGGAGGCTCATGGTAATCTTCTCTTGAGTAGACCTTGCTTTTCCCTGATCCTCTCCTCCCTGCATGACCTAGGATGTATAGGGGATGGGCCTGGATCCTCCTCTGACTGCTCAGCTGGACTCTGCCCTTCCCCAGCCTCCTCCACCACCTCTGGAGCCACACTCCCACTCCCTGTTGGCTGTTCCTCCTCTTCCTCAGAGTCAGACTCCACCAGGGGCATGACAGTGATATTACCAGAGAAGAAGCTATGTAGGATTAGATTAACAACTCTTAATGCCTTTTTGGCTATGTAGTTACAGTGGGCTCTAGCACTTAGTTCATTTGAGATGACAAAGTTGGATCCTTGACAAAGTTTGGATCCTCAACAAGGTCTTGACTATTTAGCTTGTATTTCATTTTCTAATTTTTTTTCTGACAATATGTAAGACAGCATTTATTTGTTGAGATTTGAAGTTGCCATTTGTTTGACCATTCTGATACATAGTCAAGGTTTTTTTGGAGGGTAGTAGTATTGTCTGTGGTGTTGAATAGCTTTACATCATCAGCAAAGAGAATGCAGTTGCTCTTAATATGATCACAGAGGTCATTTATGAAGAGTAGGATGAGAGTTGGTCCTAATACACTGCCTTGGGGGACACCACTGTTGACAGGTACAGAATTTGATAGGATGCTCCCAATGTTGACCATTTGTTGTCTGTTTGACAGGAATGCTTCTATCCAGTTATGTAGGTGTCCAGAGATACCGCAAGATTTTAGTTTTAGGAGTAGTTTGTCGTGTACTACTGAATCAAAGGCTTTACAGAAGTCTATCTCGATTGCATCTATTGCTTTGCCATGATCGAGTTGTGTAGTCCATGTGTTTTTGCAGTGTAAGAGTTGCAGATTACAGGATAGGTTTTTCCTAAAACCAAATTGTTTATTAGAGTGTAGGTTGTTTGTCTCTAAGTGGAGGATAATGGATTGGTTAATAATTGATTCCATGACTTTACAGGTGACGCAGCATAAGGAGATTGGTCTGTAATTTTCTACTAGACTGGGGTCTCCCTTTTTGAAGATGGGGATGACCCTGGCTTGTGACCATAGTTTTGGCAAGGAACTGGTCCTGAAAGATTTTTCAAAGATTATGCTTAAAGGTTCGGCTATGGCAGTGGATAGCTTTTTAAAGAAGTAGGCACATATTCCGTCCGGTCCAATAGATAGGGATGATTTTAGATTGTGCAGTGCTTTTTCAACAATGTCTTCTGTAAAATCGATATGTATTAGGTCATTGTAGTTGTCTGTAGTTCCACTAGGAAATACTGGGCATGATCCATTGCTGTATACAAATACTGAGCCAAAGAATGTATTAAAGAGGTTTGCTTTGATGGTGTTGTCGTTGCAATCTTTGCCATTAGGTCCTTTCAGGCGTGGGATGGACCTTGAGTCTTTTAGTTTGTTTTTTACAAATTTGTAGAAAGTATGGGTGGAATTTGTGTGTAGAAGGTTTTCCTCTTGTTTAATGTGATAAGTAGTGCATTCAGTTTTTATCTGGTCGCATAGATTTTTGTATCTGCTTTTGAAATTGGCAACGTGACCAGATTCATTTTTCCACCAAAGTGGAAATTGAAGCTTTTTGGATTGAAGCTTCCTTATTGTTATGGGTAATCTGTTTTTCCTGGTATTGGGAGTTGTTATTGGTACATATAGTTTGATGGCTGTTTTGATTTCTAGTAAGACTATGTTGTAATGGTCTTCAACAGTATTGCATCCAGTGAATAGAAATTGCCAATCGAGGGAAGAGAGGTAGTTGATTATAAGATCATAGTTGCCTTTTTTGAAGTTATTATTGGGGATTTTGTCATTATGATGATTATTGTGTGGATGTATGTTGAGACAAAAGTCAATCATGTTGTGGTCACTGTTGGAAAAGAGTTCTTTAATTTGTATTCTGTAAATTGAATTCAAACTATTGCAAAAGATGAGATTGAAGCAGTTGTTAAGCCTAGTATTGTTGGTTACTAGTTGTTCCAGTCCCAGGTTTGTTACAGTATTGTAGAAGGTTGCATGTATGGTTCAGTTGTACATTCATTTCGGGTCCAGTTAATATGAGGTAGATTGAAGTCACCAAGAAAGATAAAAGTGTGTGGGCAGGATGTTGCCCATGTTAGTAATGTATTTAGTTTGTTTGCATGTTCGATGTCATAATCAGGGGCTCTGTAATATAGTAAGAACTGAAATGTGATATTTAAGGTCAGTTCACAGATAATGGTCTCAGGAAGAGCAAGCTCTTGGATAACTTGGATGTTTTTTAGATATAAGGACTTTTTATAGAAGATAGCAACACCACCTCCTCTACAGATTTCACAATTGGATCGGTCTCTTACTAAGGTAATGGAGACAGGGAGAGATGCATTGAGCCATGTTTCACAGACAAATATGATGTTGAATTTAGCCGTACTTAGTAAGAGGAGAAATTCAGGTATTTTATTTACAAGGCTTCTTGCACTGAGTAGCTTGCATTTAAGGCCAGTTGTAGTTTGAATTGAGGTAGTTGGGGGTGTGCGTGCCTAGTCTTGGGTGATGGTGGATTGGTTGAAGAAGGTTTGGATGCTGAGTTGTGGGTTGTGTGACTTTCTTTTGATACAGTCTGCACGGTAATCAATGTACATGTCCTTCTCTCCATTGTCTAGATGATTTTTGAGTTCTGTGTGTAGTATACGGGAGCAGGCACGTTGCTGTAAGGTTATGTCAGGATGAGTCACATGACCCCCACTGACTTTCTACTGTAAGTTTCTCAAGTTTCCCCATTGACTTGTGGGAAGGTGTCAGGGACATTGGGTCCTAGCATTCTGTAAGTTAATCTATTTGAGGTAACCTCAGTGGTGGGGTGGTTACTGCAAAATCCCCATTCGCTCCCCACCCCACTAACCTGCTTTCCAGCTCCGCTTTCCAATGAAGGGCAACAAAGAAGTCCCAGCTGATCAACTAGGATTTAGGAGGCAGAGGATAGATGGGTGTGGGGCCAGTCAGGGGTGGTATTTGCTGGTTCTCCTAACTACTCAAAATTTCTGCTACAGGTTCTCCAGAACTGGTCAGAACCTGCTGAATCCCACCTCTGGTAACCTGGTTGAAAAGGTTTTGCCCTGTGATGCCCTGTTTCACCCAGTTAAACAAAAGTAAAAGAAGTGTATTTTATGAATTTACAATTGCAGTGAAGATATAATATGTGAAAATTTCAAGAATCACAGTAACATTAACCATGAGGGTTAAAATACTTCTTGTAGAAATATGTTTTAAGTTCCATTCTTTATTGTTGCTAGGAAGATAACATATGCTTGATTAGTATACATTTGTGCAAAGTAAAAAAATGTCAAGTTATAAACTGCTGTCATCCAAGGATTAAGATCTGTTTTACTAGAAGTATATTTATTCTTCAAGTTATCTTGATTAAAAGCTTTTCGATTGTATTTTTCTTTTTTTATTGCTAACTTTTGATTTACCATGGGTGAAAATTATGTAATTTTACCTTATTATTCGTTGATTTTATTGTTTCTGTTGGTATCTTTTCTAAAGAAAAGGAATTTAAATATAATATTTGTTCCATTTTAATTTTTCATTTAGTCAAAAGATAAGTAAAAATGTCTACCTAGGCATAGAAATTGTAATTGAACCTTTTGTATGCAACATGAAAACTAACAATAAGGATGTACAAAATCTAGTGAGGGGACAATTATTATCTTCTGTTCTGAAAAGATAACAATCAGATGGTTTAATCTTGTAAATAGAAGTTTCTTCTTCAAGATACAGGAATTCTCTAGAAACCTTAACTATGTTTTGACTATTTACTGGCTACTACTTCAATTGCATTTTATTATTAATCTCCTTCTTGTTCATCACAAATGTGCACCAACAGGTAGGTAGATAACACAAAATATACCAGAAGGCAATAATTTGGCAATAACCATGCCTGTGTAGTCTTTAAAAAATGGCATATATGTACTTCTAGAGGGAAAGAAAACTAAAACAGGAAATCATAATTGCTTGAAGTTCAGGCTGTGACCTCCAGTTATTTTATTTTATTTTTTAATTTTAATTAGGATCTGGAGCGAGGATGGGAGTTCACCCTCATTATATGACACTTGGGTCTCGAACCTGGGCTGCTGGCTTTCTAGCTGAGAAGCCCAGCATCTTACACACTTTTGCTATTGTGCCACCCATTTAACAAAAGGAAAATTCCTATTTTCAAGGACTATTGTTGAAGAAGCAGCTAAGTTTTACTCTCTCAATTATTGGTCAACAGCCAACTAAGAAGCTATAAAACTATAGTTATGGAGAGGTTGAAGAATAATGGAGCAGGGAGATTTCCTTGTTTTATTTCTTGAGTTATAGAAATTGAATCAGATAATTGGCCATGGGAATCATATCAAACTTTTATGCCAGTGTTACTATAGAGTGTATATATCAGTGGTAAGAATTCTTGATTTCTAGTAGTGGCCATCAATTTCCCTCTGAACACTGAATCAAAGACTGATTTCACATCTATAAAGGTTCTATGAAATAGAATTTTAAAGCCATAGTTTATATTTCTCTACTGAGTGATACAAAATTATTGCTTGAGCCACTGAAGTTCTACCTAGCCTAAATCTTGCTTGCTGCACTGCTAAAATATTACCCTTTATTCAGTCTTACAGTTTCTCATGTAAATGCTTGGCATTCATTAGGAGCCTCTTTTTAAAAAATATTTGAATAAATTGGGACAAAGATAGCCATATTTTTTTCTGAATGTAAACAATATTTTCAATATAAGTAAACAGAGCTGCCAGTACAGGTGCCCACAAATTACCATTATTTTTGAAGATATTGGCAGTACAATATCTTTACTAGGGGCTTTATGGATTTTCATTTGGTTTATTAGTTGCCTTATGTGTCTAATAACTACTGTTGGCCAACTTGCTCACATTTTTGTGTTTAGATCTGGTAGAACATAGGCATAATCAGTCTGTGATTATAATGGTTAGAAATAAGCTACTTAGGCCACTACAGAATACATGGTGGTCTAAATTTCTTGACAGGTTTTTCATTATCTTCTGCCAAATGGTATGAGTCATTAGATTTTATATTCATAATTAATTGTTTTAGTTTGGTTAACTTTTTCTCCTTAGAATTGGTTCTTTATATTGACACCTTTCTGACAATAAATTTTGAGAATTTCTATTACATGGGTTGTACTAGGCATAGCTACTCATAAAGACTTGCTTGTATATATTCATGGTTGAATCATGGTTTAGATCTTTGGAAATTGGACCCTTATTATTCCCATTGCTTGCTAAAAATCAAATGAATTTGTTGGAGTTCAACAATTTATCCACATTTCTTCCAAAACAGTTCTTTCACATTTAGTTAAATAATCTACAAGTGTAACATTATATATTTCTCTTATTGTTCTGATCAAAGATGTTCCAAGATACAAGTTATAAAGAACTCTATAAGTCCAAATCTCATTCTGACTGGTCTTCTATTCTCTTTCTGTATCTTTAAGATCTTGTTAGGATTGATTGACCTGGGATGCTTTATCTACTCGATAACTGAGTTAATTTGGGAGTTTAGCATAAGGATAGCCTTTTGGAATTGGGTTAATTGCAATGCCAGAATTTCACAAGAACCATATGGCTTTTCCTTTCCCTAGTACAAAGATGAAGGGAAAATACCTCCAATCTGATCCACAGGCTCTCTGTAGATATAAGCTAGTTTTGCCAGATTGCCAGACTATTTGCAAGTAAAGTTAATTTAGAAAATTAATGGAAGTGGGGATCATTGACAAGCAGCAACACAAGGCTTGATTCCATTTGATTCAAATAATTGTTGGAATTGAGGGTTTGGAGTGGCTTATAGGATAAATAAACCAGTTTTTTAAAAACTTCATTTCAACTCTACATTCCTATTCAAATATAGATGGATCAAAGCTTTAGTCTCTGATAATTTAATGGATGGTGGCAGAGTTTATTGATATAATCAGCTGCAAAGTTTGAGGAATCTAGATCTATCAGAGGTTCTGCTACAGTATGTCTATTTAAACTCATCAGGCCATCTCAAAATCTCAGAGAAAACCTTAAAAGAATGGCTAGAAATTATCAGTAAATCTGTATGGAGTAAGAAAAGACCTGTAGTTAAATTAAGAAGTCAACAGGCTTCAAAAGACAGAGATGAACTTGCTCTTCCAAAATTTAAATTGCATCCTCAAAAAAATGGTGCACAGAATGGATAAAATTCCAAATCGTAAAATGACAATAATGGCAGAAACTGGTCTAGATGTCAATAGATTCCATGGATATGGTATAATAAATATACAAGAGAACAAAAATTTTAAAGGATATATTATTAGATCAAGTTTGATAGAAGTATGAAATTCCATAAGCCCAACAAATTTCACTGTTAACATCTCCTCTAAGTGCTTCCCATTTTAGAGATAATTACATTAAGAAAAATTGAGTTTTTATATGCAGATATGGTTCATCCAAGCTCTATGAATACATTATAGACATAAGAATGATTCAGTGAAGGTCAGAATACAGTATGGTTGATGTACTCAACAATTGTTGGAATGATAAGAATGAGGGAGAAACAATAACAAAAATGACAATTTAAAATCTATACAAAATCAATGCTATCTGTTAGGATGCATATATAAGTTCCCATTCAGATATGATACAAGGGCAGATCAAATTAAAACTACATGATAAAATGGATGCAAAACAGTCACCACACCACAATGGGAAGAATGATGGACCAAATCTAAAAAAAAAAATGTACTCAAAAGTTGTAATTGAAAACTGGTATAAAATGTTTAACAGATGGTACACAAGTCAATAATTTAGAAGACAGACAAATCATACAGTAACAAATGATGAAAATGCCATGAAACAGAAGGAACATTTTATCACGCGTAGTGGGTATGGTAAAAAAAAAAATCCCTCAAAAAATTTAAAAAGACATGTAGCATTATCCAGAAAACTTAAATTTGAAGTTAAATCACATTTTTACTCGATACAAACCCAGAATACATTAACAGAAACACTATAATTTACTGAGACACACGCTCATGACTGTGAGAATTAACTTTGTCTGACAGAAAGTTGAAAAAACCAATATTTGCTTGCAATTTAATTTGGAGAATCTACAGCAATGGTAAAACAAACAGCACATATACACAATATAAGTTTTCATCACCTGGCAAGGCAAATGCAAATACCTACTGTGTGTTCTTTAAGGTTAGTAAAAGTAATCTGAAAAGTAGTCAGATTATAAAGAAAGCTGCTTTTCCCAAGCAGCTTTTTTTCCATTTTCTCTCTCTTAAAATTTATAAATGATACAGTAGAGATTTGAATATTAAGTTTTAACCTCAAAGATCGAAACATTTGTCAAGAAATAATGCAGAGCTTTTTATACCCATTTATAACCATTTGTCATCCTTAGCAATAATTGTACATTTTAAGCAACTTTATGTTCATTACATTTTAACATTGGTACCAACTTTTTTTCCTCATCTTTAAACGTTTATCTAAATTATCACAGTGTTAACAATTTCCAGTTCCTATTTTATAAATGCCACTGTACTCAGTTGCTATCTGTATTCCATAATGCCTTATTTGCATTTTATGAGCCAATAAAATAATTAATTTGAGGGGAAAAATGGTCTTTCACAAATCTCTTCTAGTTTTACAGTCTAGCAAAACTTGGAAGGAGTT